TACAAATAACATGCGTCAGTGCGAATCATATGTACATAATACACAGTGTGGTAAGAACCCTTTCGCACCACCTTTACAAGGCCACACCGAAACATCTCCCTTCCAGCCCGCCCACAAGAAACAAACCCCTCTAGGCTTCATATCTAAACCAAAAAGTGTTTACCAAGCTGTTGAGTTTGTTAGAGAAGAAATATTTCAAGGGTGGTGGATTGGATTAAGTTCAGGCTGCACGTTTAGTATATACATGTTAATGCTAATATTTAAATATACATATGCATTTAATTTATTTCCACTTTAAATTTTAATTTTTTTTTATTTTCTGGGAGTTCAGGATAATTTTCTTGGCTTGCGTTGGGACATGCGCAATTTGCTGTTTGTACTAAGGTCTCTTTATAAACATCATGACCCTGTATGTCTTTTCATTGTGGTTTCTGCTGATAAATGGAGTATATTAAATAAATATTTATGGTGGATGAACCCTCCCTGTGAAACAACACATATAGAGGCCCATCAAATCATGAGCTAAGTCTGGTTTTCTTTCTTTCCTTTATCCGTCTCGTTTATCTTCACGAACAAGAGGCCAAACCCATAGATTTAAAATGAGAAAGATGCTCATAATCAAAATGAATGAAAGAGGCATAGTGGAATTGATTTCATATATTGAACTGAACATAAATAAAACTATATGACAGGTCCAATAAACATCAATAGAGCAAAGACCTTGGTTTAATCAGAGTGAATGAAATGTGAAATTCTTCATCCAATCTGTTTGTTATTTTGCTGTATATATGGTCAGGGAACTGGAAATTATTCCTGAAGGCATTCAATGATTCGTTTAATTTTTCTCTTTAACACACTCTTGAATCTTGAACATCTTGAAGAAATTGCTTCATGGGCTTTCAACATGACGACACCCTATGGACATCTAAACAAACATATTATATGTAGCACATACTTGGTCCAACATTTGAAACCACTAGTAAAATGCTTCTATTTAGCATTTTCTAAGCTGATTTAATAATAATATTATTTCTTCTTCGTTGCCGTCTTATCTTTATTATTCATCTTTGTCTTCTTCCTTGTATTCTTTGTCATAGTAGTAGTCTTCATCCACTTTGTCATTTTCGTCATCATAGTCTTCATCTGCTTTTTCTTATTCATCTGTTTTCTGCATCGTTGTTGTCATTTTGTTCTTTTTCTGTCATATAATATTTCCCAAATATTGGTTCATTTCAGAATCTTTTTTTTTCAGTGTCCTAAAACTTGTTTTTAGATCTTGATTCCCAGAGTGAGGTATTACATTGACTTCCAAATGAACTTGAACATTGTGGATGTGTGTGAGTGTAGTTTTCATGTTTTTGAGTATCCTAAGGCATTTATATTAACCGCAAGACTCATAAACATAATTAAAGACACATTGAGTGTCTTTCAGAAGAGCTGCTCTCAGACACTAAAATGTGATCAAAGTCTGCCTCTTTAAATGTCTGTCTTTGACCTTGTCGTTCTCTTTCCGCTTTCTTCATGTCTGTTTATCCCTACCGCTATCATTTCAGTAATCCAGTTTTATCCCTTATCTGTCTGTCTGCTTCGCTTATCTCCTTTCCATACTTGCTTTTGCCCTTCAACTTTCTAAGTGGCTCTTTTAAAGGATTAGTTCACGCAAAATTGAAAATTGACCCCCCTCGTTTAATTCCAAACCTGTATGAGATTCTTTCTTCTTTGAAACACAATAGGAGAAATTCTGGTCTCTCTTTTTTTCATTTTCGTTATGATGAATGGAGACTGAAGCTTTCAACCTTCTAAAAGGACACAAACATTTGGTGCGTACGACTTAAGCAACTCTCCTGAAGTGATATGACAGATATGTGTGTTGAAAGAGTGAAATTTAAGTCATTATTCAATAATGAGCTTCCCTTCCAGAGAGCTATAGCTTTCTAAGTTTCAGTCTGTTTCGGAGTATGCTTCTTTAAATTATTTCTGTGTTGCTTTTTGTTCTTTTGGAGCTTGACAGCCTCAGTCCTTGTACACTTTCATTAAATTGAAAAAAAAAAAAGTGGTTTGGAAATTCCATAAAAATACACATTAAATAAAAGAGGAAGTCATACGGGTATGGAAATTACATTTAAAGTAAGTAAGTAATGGCAGAATTTTTAATTTTTTGCTAAATTGTTCCTTTTAATAACTGTCTTTTTTTTCCATGTGTCACTGAACTCAACCAGCATCCAGTGATATGTGTGTGTGTATCCACTTATCTGCCTGCATCTGTGTGTGTGTGTGTGTGTGTGTGTGTGTGTGTGTTGGGAGGCTGCCATTTTTCAGTCTTAAAGCAACCAGAGAGCATTTAAAATGAAAAACACATTTTGTCATTGGGTGTGTATGACTGGAGGGCCAACTCACACACGCTGAATAAATCATTACGAGGGCAACTCCCAATGGAGCAACCCAACGCACACACGCAAACACACTCAGGAAATCTGTCGTAAGTCATCGACATCCCCCATACTTTGATTAATCATATAATCCAATTTCTCTCATATCATGATTCAGTGAAGCAGTGCATCTTTGTCTGATTTTGTTCATATATGTGGTCTGTTTAATCCTGTTCCAGCTGCCTGACTTCACTCTGTGGAGGAAAGAAATGCAACAGAGTAGAGATGGGAGTCATGGGCTTTATAATGGTTCAACATACATGAACACTACCGTACAAAAGTTTGGGTTCAGAAAAAGTCATACATTTTTATTCAGCAAGGACAGGCTAAATTGATCAAAAGTGATGGCAGAGACATTCATAATATTACAAAAGATTTTTGTTTACTAATACATGCTAAAAGAACCACAACTATTTTCATGATGGATAATGTTTCTTAAGAGCCCAATCAGCATATTAAAATGATTTCTGATGGATCATGTGACACTGAAGACTGGAGTAATGATGCTGAAAATTCAGCTTTACCATTACAGGAATAAAAATATAAATTATATTCAAATATATATTTTTTTTATTGTAATAATATTGCACAATAGTATTCAATTCAATTCAAGTTTATTTGTATAGCACTTTTCAAAATACAAATCATTGCAAAGCAACTTTACAGCAAATTAAGTTTCTACAATATTTTGTACTCTGTACTCTGGTAGTAATATTACTGTTTTTACTGTATTTTTGCTCAAATAAATGCAGTCTTGAAAAGATCTGAAAGATTCATTCACAAATCGGCCATTGCTAATTCTCTTATGAACTTAATTCTCAATAGAAATTGAATAATATTGAATAACTTTTTTTTTTCTCACACAGAGCCATCAAATGACTCCAGAAGACTTGGATTGCAGTGTACATGATGCTTTGCTTTTATGGTGCTTTAGTGTTTGTTTTAAGAAAACAATGACATAATTTTCATTTTTGAGTGAACTTCTTGACCATCTTGGTCAACCAGCTTCATCAACAAATCCCTAACCCTACGAATTTAAATTTGGCCACGAATGGTGCCTCAAATCATGTGTAATAAGCAGAGTTAGACTAATACTTTTCTAAACAATCACATGATTAAATTACTTTCTAATTTGTGTCTGTAGCGTTATGGGAGCTGAACAGGACGAGAGTGTTCCAGGCCGGAGAGGGGCGTCTGCAACACTACAGTATGTTACTGGATGAGACTCAGGAAAGGCTAATCATCGGAGGAAAAGGCATACTGTACGCACTCAATCTGGAGCGCATCATTGCCCCTCACAAAGAGGTACATGCATTTACATAGCTGTTCTCAGGATTTGGACACCATGTCTGTCCAGAATTGTCATCTGTGTGTGTGTGTGGGGGGGGGGGGATACAGTTTATCGTCTCATTTGGCTCATGACAGTATGTTGCGCAAAGCAATTTACGTCTGTTGCTAAATAAATCTCAGGACAACTACGCACATACTCATTAAATAAATAAAAACAGCTCTCATACAAAGAGAACCCAGGGATTATATTGCAACCATCTGTTCAACTACAACTTACAAATATTCACAAATCCTTGTGCTCATTTTAGGTTGTTGCACTGAAACTGTCATTATATAGTTGAATTATATTTCTGTCATGACAACTCTCGGAGGGATTGACATGGTAATGTACATGACAATGTTAATGTATTTGGTCTTGGCGGAATAGATCTGCTACGCTTCTGCTGTTGCTGTTGCTGCGGGTGCGGCAGAGCAAGTGCCGAGACTTGCTACTGCCAATACATCCACAACATGCTGCTGTGAGCATGTAAGAAATATTGCTGCTGCAAATATAACATACATGAAATAACCCCCATATAACATACATGAATCACCTCATAGCAGATCTATACAGGTGGAGCTGGGGAAGGTGGAGGGTTTCTGAAGCAAGCTGCAACTGCTACAGCAAGCACTAGTCATATATTTGAATGTTGAGCAGCGAGCTCATTGGCTACCGATACATGAGAGAACCAATCGGCTGTGCCATGTGATAATGATGTCATTAGGTCAGATTGAGTTAGACCTATCGGACTGCGCCATCTAGAGTTTCATGCCAGAACTCTGTATATGTATTCTGTATTAAGTATGCAATTATTACTATGTTACACTTATTGTTGTGGATTCAGCATCAACGTCAAAAGCAGACGTTTTTGGTTTTCGATTGCATTGTAGAAATACCTATTAACAGATGTCACCCTTAATTCATGTACAAAAGAAAGTATTTGATAACAGGGTGGGTGGGGGATTAAGCAGCCATTCCACTGTCTCTGACATTTATTTATTTACGATTTCCACATTTCGGCCCCTAATGACAGTCGCACCACACAACTTTCAGATTGGAAGCAGTCATTATCCTCTGCATTTTTGCAATGGTAAGAGGAATGAATAATGAATGTAAGAATATATCCACGCAAAAAAAATTCACATAAAAATATATACAGTATTACAAAATATTTTGATGCAACTAAAGCTCAAATTGGATAAAGAAATTCTCTATATGCATCCATCTGTATCCACGCAGCTGTACTGTTTTCCACTGAAAATGAATGACGTCCGGTCTGACGTTTGTTGGAGACATGCTCTATTGTTTGAACTACAGAAATGCAGACAGTCTTTTTTATGCAACCACAGGTCAAAAAATATAACAATTCAGCCAAGTACAGCAAGTACATTTCTGTGCCAGAACAACATGACCAGAACCCATGTGCTTGTTTCTCTGTTTTAGATTCACTGGCCGAGCTCTGAGGAGCAGGTGGGGGATTGTTTAATGCAGGGAAGAGAGAAGGTAAATCTGTTATACATTCTGTACAGTATATATGACACAGTGATATCCTATTACATGGCTACAGTGTTTATCTTGAAAAGTGTTAAAAGCGTTCTTTTCTTTATCTCTTTATCTCTATTTTTCTCTCTGTCCCTCTCTCACAGCCGGAGTGTGCAAACTACATTAAGCTGGTGCAGCATTATAACAGCACCCACCTGTTAGCATGTGGGACTGGAGCCTTCAGCCCAGTGTGTGCCTATATCAGAGTGGGCCGTGGAACAGAGGTAAATCTTCTGCTGTGACAAAGAAAATAATCTTAGATCAGTGTTTTGTTTGTTTTTCCTTGTTTTATGTATTTTTTTTATATATAAAATATTATAAATAATATACTTAATACATAACATCATAAGAGGGCAGTAAGCTACACATTAATTTAGTTTGATTCTAAATAAAACAATTCATAATCATGTCTTTGAATCTTATCAAATAGTGATATATGAAAACAATGGCATATTGTGTAATTCCATTTTTATCTAAATATATTGCCAAGTTATTCATAATTGTTCTAATTATCAATGTTGAAAATAGTTTTAGTGGAAACTTAATATAAGTTCAGTGAACAGCAGTGAAATTTTATTTATAATATTAATAATATACATTATACATTTGTACATTTATAAATGTCTCTTGTCACTTTTGATCAATTTAGAGTTAAAAAAGGGGAAATACATTTTTTAAGTAAAACTTAACCAAGACATTTGAATGGTAGTGTACCATGGTTTCCACAAAAAAAATATTAAGCTGTACAACTGTTTTGAACGTTGAAAATAATAAGACATGTTTCTTAAGCAGCAAATCAGCATGATTAAAGGATCATGTGACACTAAAGACAGGAGTGATGATGCTGAAACTTCAGCTTTCCATCACTGGAATAAATTATATTTTAGAATGTGTTAAAATAGAAAACACATTTTTTAAATTGTAATAAGATTTCACAATAAAAAAATAAAAAGCAAATTCATCTTATTTGAAGGATGATTAGATTTTTATTGGAAAACATGAAAAAAATGCCTATTTTATCATTGAAACCCTCTTATTTTTCAAAGTTAAAAGCTTTAAGGTGAACAAACATGATGGAATTGGCATGTTTTAAAACCGTAATGTTAGTCACAGTTGTTGACAACAAAGTTTCAGAGATGCCTCAGTGACCGCAACGTCTTTGAAGCTTTTTATTGTATAGGAGCAGACTGAGGTCGCATGTAGCTGCGGTGTCGCCTTCTGTCCTCTTTCTGTCTTATATTCCAGAAAAACATGTCTTGAGGAGGTCCTGTTTGTCTTCTGAGGAATGTGTTGTAGTGACTCACGGATGAATTGTGTCCAGTGTTGTGCTGTTGTTTGTCATCAGAGACCATACTGGAAACTACCCCTGCAGTCTGCGACTGTTACTCTCACTGTATTCCACACCTGCTGGAGTTGTGCAGAGAGACTTGCTTGAATTGAAACCAGTCAGAGTGGTAACAAGTTAAAGCGCTTAACATCTCAAGACACTAAAACACTGGTCGTGTTTTGAGTTCTGAAATCTTTGATTTGTAAAAAAAAGATCCAGATGCTGTGTGTCACCGTGAGGTTTAGGAGCGCATTTCTTTTGATTTGGAGGGCTGTCTGATAACATGGTTGCTGGTATTCAGCTTGCTAAAACTTTGCCGTTTGCAGTTGGAAGGAAAGACATATTTAAAAGCATATGGAATTGTATTCCGTCGTTATAAGGAATGTTAAAAATCTGGTGGTTTAGAGAGGCAGAGACTGAACAATGTGACCTACATCTGCACTGCTGTGTGGAAAAGTTGAAGGTTTTCATGCTTAGCATGCTAATATTAATGCATCAGTATCAGGCTTTGTTCATTTATTATTTTTTGCCTCTTTATTACTTAGAACTTTGAAAAGTACAGTAAGTTAATGGGAATGGGATCTGGATAGGGGTTGCTGCATAGACTCGAACCTGCATCTCTCATAAGAGCACTAAAGCTCCAGCATGTCATTGCACAACTTAATTTGAACTTAGAGCACATATTTAGATCAATTTTACAGGTTGTCCACAGCAGTGTTGTAACTGTTAACTAAAACTGAATTGTTGTTGTTTTTTTTGTTTTGTTTTTTTAATTGAAAAAAGTTTTTGTTCATTGAAATAAAGCTCAAATAAAATATAAATATTAGATGAAAAAGTTCAATAAAAATGTGTGCTAAAATTTAAAAATTAATTAATAAAACTAAATCTGAATAGAAATGATGATTCCACAACTAATAAAAATGACAAAAGTACATAAATGTACTCAAATTCATTTAAAAGTGAAGATATACTTTAAAAGCTAATCCAAAATATTAATGAACACTGTAATATTATATACATAATACTAAAATAACTCTGGTCAACACACTCTTAATTTATTAAAATGCCTTATTCGCTTTTCAAAATTTAAGGCCATAAGCATAGGGGAAAAAAAGCTTGTTGTTGTTTTTGGAGGTTTGTTGGAAATTTGTTGATGCCGGTTTCACACTGCTGAGTTAATGATTCAGTGCAAAGGTAGATTAAATGCCATAATAACCACCTTAACATTTTGTCATTGTCATTTGTCACAAATCATTGATCAAATTGTATGATGCACTGAGTTGCATTTATGTCTGAAAATACTCCACTTATCATATATAGTGTATATTCCATAAGGGGTGCATTTATAGACTTTTTCATCCTAATTTGTATGTTAAAGGGGTCATATGATGTTGCTAAAAAGAACACTATTTTGCGCATTTGGTGTAATGAAATGTTTATGTGGTTTAAGGTTAAAAAAACACTATTTTCCACATAATGTACATTATTGTTTCTCCTCTATGCCCCGCCTTTCTGAAACGCGTCGATTTTTACAAAGCTCATCGGTCTGAAAAGCGAGGTGTGCTCTGATTGGTCAGCTATCTAGTGCGTTGTGATTGGCCGAATACCTCAAGCGTGTGACGGAAATGTTACACCCCTTACCATACTGTGATGGCTTGTCCTGGAGTGACGAGACAAAACCAATAAAACCCATTATAAACGAGGCATTTGTTGCATCCAGTGGAGACATAATTACGGATTATAATGACTTGTACTGTATTTTTACGCGCTGCGTTGCATCGCGCCGCGTTGTATCGCGCCGCGTAAACATAAAACCATGTCTGCATTTGTGATCGGAGAAATGACAAACAACAAGTGCTACTCTACACTGCTCAAAACTCGCGTTTGAATCATCAGTGGCAAATTCTTTATATATAAAAACGTACTTACAGTCTGTGAGTCAGAACAGCCGGCATTGTAGTCTACTCTCGCAGGATCAGGAAACAGTCCTCCATAAAATGTGCTGCACACATCTGAATATTTTGAGTTGAACTGTCCAGGAACAGTGTTGTAAATAGAACTTAACCACTGATTTCTAGTCGTGTCCTCTTTTGGAAGGCCAAACAAAGTATTTTCGCTTTTGCAACAAACGCACAGCATCTTCACAACATGGCGGCAGCGGTGGCAGCAACAATAAAGTTACGCCTTCTTTCTTTGCGTGAACATTTGGGCAGTGTCATTCAAATCTTCCCACATCGTGACGTAGACACGTGGGGGCGTGTTTAAACGAGGCGTTTTAGGAGGGCGTGGACCAGTCTTAACTTTTATAAAGAATATCTCTTTTGGTTTGAGACTTTAGTCTTTGCAACTTTAGACATCTTATCTATTCACGAACAGCTTGTAACACTCCAAAGAGAAAGGAAAACTTGAAATCGCATCATATGACCCCTTTAACCATTCACATTCTGACATTTTGCTTATGTAGGTGATGCAGGTTTGAGTCCAGTCTGCAACGTATCTTGATCACTTGCCACCTCCTTTCTCACCCAAACATCTTCCTGTCATTCTCTCTAACAAAGAGGCAAAACCCCAACAATAATAATGTAAAAGTGACAAAAAATACTCCTGACAGCACTTTCTTTCTGAAGCAACTTTTAACAGTCTTCAACCGCCTGTGGTGAAAGCCTGGTCTCCAGAGAGACAGACAGAGTTTGTTTTACTGTGTGCGACAGGAAGTTTTATCATTCGCACTCTGTTAAAATCTCCAACCAAACATCCAGACAAGCGAAAACAAACATCTCCATCCTCCCAGGAGAGCCCCAGTCAAATTACAGAGCGGCTAATCATAGAGAAGCGAGCTTTATTTGAAGGAACAGGCAAGAAAAAAAGAGCAAAGACAAGACGTTTATTTGAAGGAAACCGAGAATCTGGATCGTGGCAGGCGGCCTACAGGCTTTCTTTCACAATTTTGGAGGTTTCAGGATGGAGAATTCCCTTTACACCTCATTCCCGCTTTTTATCCCAACTAGGTTCAGAAATCGGCACTCATGGCTGGGAATAGGAAGCACGTCTGGCTCTCTGACCCTCCGGCAGAGGTGAAGGAGAGAGCCATGGGCGTTATGGGAGCCATAGGCAGGAGATCAGAGAGGGTTTAATTAGAGGAGACAGGTTTCAGCGGGGTGCCTGATAACTCCAGTGCTGAGCTGCAGGCCTCCAGCACATGCCTCAGTCTGGAACAGCTACACCCTAAACACTCAGAGACATTAATGAGACACGTACGAGACACATATGCATCCGTGCACGTAAGATATGGGCTTCGCATTCAGATATACACACGGCGACGAAGATGGATACACATACCTGCACAATTATACACACACTCGGCCCTGGAGTGCTGGGATGACATGTTGCAGATGTAGCTATGATGACAGGAAAGACTGATAAAGTTACGGAGACACAGAGCAGAACCGGAGAGAGCGAGTGAGAGGCGTGCACACGTACCCATAAGCGAATGGCCTAGAATGCATTCCTTCTCTAATATCGGGAATATAAGCACCGTTCCGGCCCTTTGCGCCCATACGCACATCACCTGACACATCACAACACATCGTTCCCTCTCACTGTCTCCTCTTTCACCAAAACCCTGCTTTTTCTCATGGGCTTTACACATACTTATATACTAATACACCCACATCATACCTCACTCACATCTTAACAGAATAAACACATAAAATACTGTTCTGAAACATAGTGAGCATCCTAATATATAATATAATATAATAATAAGCATGTTAATCACAATGAAACTAAAATGTATTATAGTTTAAATGTAACATTTGTGCATTTGGCAGATGCTTTATTTTTTCAAACTGACTTTGATTGCATTCAAGGTATGTTTTATCAGTTCTTGCTTTCCCTGGGAATCGAACCCATGACCTTTGTGCTGCTTGTGTCATGCTCTACTTTTTGAGCTACAAGAAGGCTGAAAGTTTTTTTTATCCTCTTAAATATTTCTTAATTTGTTATTTCATAATTCTATTATCTCCGAAAAACTGTACTGACAAATGTACTTACAAGCATTTATGGTATGCCATTTATTTAAATATATATTTTAGCTATACATCTGTATTGATGATGTTGCAGTTTCATACATTTAAAATATATCAACTTTAAATGTAATATCAAATAACACTGTAATCAAGTGCTTCACATATGCTTTAATATGTTAGTCTATCAAAATAAGTGTACTTCTTTAAAGCACTGCAACATATTATTAAAACGGATTTAAAATGCACTTAATAGTACAGATTTTTAGGGCACTTTATCTGCAAGTACAGTTTTTAAAATATACATTTAAGATTTGAAATTCACTACAAGTGCACATTTAGTACAATTAAGCACACTTCTTTTTCACAGGGAATGTAATGCAAGATGAGGCAGAAGAAATACTATTAATATAAATTAATTTCTTTCCATTTTAAAAATGATTAAAAAAAAAGATATAATTAAGTCAAATTAAAATTGCTTGATTTGTATTTTTGCGTGCCGTGTATTTTTTGCTTGTTAACTGTGTATAATTGTTTTATAATTGTTTACTATCTTTGGTTTATAACTTATAAGTACATATAATTGGGCGTTTAAGACATTGCTTAAATCTTTCTGCTGTAATGAGTACCCCAAACTTTTTCTTCTGCTTGAACTGTCTGAACAGACCTGTTGGACATCATGTAACAGCTCAGAAATAATTATGTATTCATATAGCTATGCTTAAAAAAATAATATATTGTTGTTGGAAAAGAAACACATTGTAAAATACAATGTAATATTTTATTATTAATATTTAATACATTATTACACACTAATAAATAATATTATAAATTATTAATGTGCACTTTTTCATCTCTCAGTTTGCAGTTCACTTGGTTTTGAACCAGCCCTTTGCACACATCACTAGTTCAATTCCTGTGAGGTGGATGGATTATCTCGGCAAAGGAGAAGTGCTCACTAACACAGATTTAGACAGATTTGTCAACAATATTTGAGAGAAATAGGCCTCTTGTGTACATAGAAAAAGTCTTAGATCTTTGAGTTCAGCTCATGAAAAATGGGGGCAAAGACAAAAGTGTTGCGTTTATGATTTGGTATATATATATATAATTTAATTATTATTGTATTTAGCTTGTTAAATGTGTGTTTGTGTTCCAGCTGGAAGGAGAGTTCAGGTTGGAGTCTGATCACATAGAGAGTGGCAGAGGAAGATGTCCATTCCATCCCAACAGCCCTTCAGCATCCACTATGTACCGTAAGCATTCATCCGTTCCTGCATCTTTCTCTTCTGTCCTCCATCCTTTAATAGTCTTTTCCTCCTTTTGTTGACATCCAAATATATTTCATCCCATTATGTCTTTATTTTTCTGTAGCTCCCCCCCTTCTCCTTTTCATCTTGATGTTCAGAATGTGTGTGTTCTTGAGTTTTGAAAGGAAGCGAGTGCATTTTGAGCCAGGGGCCACCGAGCACGAAAGCTCTTCATAACACACTTCAGCTCCAGCCCTTCAGAGCGCTCATTCACACAGCAGCAGGGATTTGATTGAAGGGAAATTGAGAGATGAATTTGATGACTTCCTCTCTGACAGCAGCTGCAGACTGTTTTCAGCTGGGTTATTAATTTAGTCTCTCCCAGCCGGCCCAGCATCAGGATCGTTCATAATAAAGAATGTTTAGATGCTAAATTGATATTGCCCTTTAGATCATTACATCGTGACATACCGCAGGATTTATTACTCACTGGTGAAAGAGAGGCAGTTATTTATAGTGTCTGCGGTGCCACCTAGTGGCATCTCAATATAATATGACAAACACATTACAAGAGCTGTTATGCATTACCTTAAGACAGTGTTCAGGGAAGCAACGTTTGTCATTAAATATTGATGTATATTATTGTTAAATGCCATGTGAAATACGAAATCATAACATTACTGAACTGATTTAAAACTTACCAGTTTTAAGTGAGATTTTTCTTTAAGTTAATATATTGAAACTGAATAAATAAATAACTGCTTAAATTATTTAAACGCTTGACAAAACACTTCAGCTTTACAGTATTAAATCCAATAAGCATCTCAATTTTATTCCATAATACTGATTTAATTTCCCTCTCTCTCTCTCTCTCTCTCTCTCTCTCTCTCTCTCTCTAAATCATGTTTGATTGACAGGTGGGGAGTTGTTTGTTGGCTTGTACACTGATTATTGGGAGAATGATGCCGCTCTATATCGTCTAGGCAACCGCAGTTTCATTAGGACTGAAGTGGGTGACAGACAGCAGCTGAATGGTGAGAGAAAACTGTTGAAAATACAAGCACTTTGTGTTGCAGATAATGCTTCCTGGTGTCCTCAAGAAGTTGTTGTTTAATCTAGCTTTAACCAGCAACACTTATTTGGTCAACTGTTGAATGGTGAGAGAAAACTGTTGAAAATACAAGCACTTTGTGTTGCAGATAATGCTTCCTGGTGTCCTCAAGAAGTTGTTGTTTCTAGCTTTAACCAGCAACACTTATTTGGTCAACTGGCTTCACCAAAAAGACCATGCTGGTTTGCAAGCTTTGAAACTGAGCTTGTCAACCTACAAACCACACAAAATGTGAACTACAGTGAACACTCTTAAAAATAAAGGTGCTTCACGATGCCATAGAATAACCTTTTTGTCTAAATGGTTCCAAAAAGAACCGTTCTGTTTCACAAAAGGTTCTTTGTGGCGAAAGAAGGTTCTTCAGATTATAAAAAGGTAAGAAAGAGATGGTTCTTTAAAGAGCCTTTGACTGAATGGTTCTTTGTGGAACCAAAAATGGTTCTTCTATGGCATCGCTTGAAGAACCTTTTGAAGCACCTTTATTTTTAGGAGTGTAGTTATTTACATGAAGGTTTTTTTTTTGTTTGTTTTTTTGATAAAGTTTGGGATCAGTACGATGTTTTATGTTTTTAAAGACTTATCTTTTTTTTCTTATTCTAATTAAAGAATTTTCTTTTGCTCAACAAGGCTGTGTCTATTTAATCAAAAATACAGAAAAAATTGTGAAATATTGTTGCAAATTAAAATAACAGTGTTCTGTTTTAATATACTTTAAAATATAATTTAATTCCTGTGAAGCAAAGCTGAATTTTCAGCATCATTACTCCAGTCTTCAGTGTCACATGATCCTTCAGAAATCATTCTAATATGCTGTTTTATAATCAGTATTGGAAACATTTGTGCTGCTTAATATTTTTGGGACCTGTGATTCTTTTATCAGGATTCTTTGATAAATACAAAGTTAAAAAGAACAGTGTTTATTCAAATATAAATGTTGTGTTACAATATACACTACTATTCAAAAGCTTGGGGTCAGTAAATTATTTATTTCTCTTTTTTTAAGAAATGTATAATTTTATTTAACAAGGATATGTTAAATGGATAAAAAAGTGATATTAAAAACTTCTATTGTTAGAAAAGATTTCCATTTTGAATAAATGCTTTTCTTTTTAACTTTTTATTCATCAAAGAATCAAAGAAAAAAGTATCACTGGTTCCAAAAAATATTAAGCAGCATAACCGTTTCAACACTGATAATAAATCAGATTTTCAGAATGATTTCTGAAGGATCATGTGCCACTGAAGAATCGTGTCACAGAAAGAAATTATATTTTAAAGTATATTAAAATAGGAAACCAATATTAGAAATTGCAATAATATTTCACAATATTACTGTTTTTTAGTATTTTTGATCAAATAAATACATCCTTGATAAGCATAAAGAGACATTAAAAATCTTACTGATCCCAAACGTTTGAACGGCAGCGTATAGCTACTGGATATAAAACGATCATACACATAAATGTGCATACATAGAATCAAATAGAGCAATACAGTAGAATTCAAGATTGATGTACAGTTCATCCTGTGTGTGATTTAGAGAGGCCTGCGACATCCTGCTTGTCTGTGAGCCGTTTTAATGCTTCCCTTTGCTGTATATCTCCTCCGGCAGCCGTACGAGAGATCTGGCCTTCAGCCCAGACCAGCAAGAGTGATGCTTTTACCGTGCGTATCACTGTAGCAAGGCTTGTGGCCTCATTGTAGGTGCAGTTAACACATCAGCTCCACGCCAAGTGTGACTGAAGATATATTCACAATGGCGTACTACTACTATTTTTGCAGTATGCACAGAATCCAACTGTATATGTGGATAGAATGCATAGATGATCTTCAACAATTGCCAGAATGTGCATTTAAGAACAGATAGTTTTGACTTAAATTCTGATTGGCTGATGCATGAATTGAGCTTTTGTATTCATTCTGAAGATAGCCTGAGTGTGTCAGACAGATGTTAAAAATATGGCATTCTCTCACACTTCTCACATGTGATTCCGATATATTTTTCCTAGAGCCCAAGTTCGTGGGTTCGACAGTGATCCCTGACAATGACGATCCTGCTGATGATAAGGTCTACTACTTCTTCACGGAACGAGTGACCAACATAGAAGGAGGAAACAAAGCCGTTTACACCAGAGTGGCCAGAGTCTGTGCGGTATGATACCAAACACATGCTTGTTTAGATCTTTGAATCAAATTAGTCTTGTTTAGCATTCAAAAGCATGATCTGTAATGCTTACCAAAAGCGTTCACTTAGCTTTCCTCTTCATCTCAATAGCATATGCAGGACCCCCTATACTCATAGGAAAGGTTAATAGGAAACCATTTTTTCCCTCCCATAAATGTCAAAGATGTCAACACTGATTGTGTGGCTTCATTATGGCTATCCAGTGAAATCAAAAGCAACAGACAGGGAAACTACAGTTTAAGCAACTTCTGGCAAAACATTATAATGTACTGAAATGCTTGCAAAAATGTAGTCTAAATACACATGTTTTTTTGAATGGTTTTCAATGAAAAAACATGTTTTTGCTCCCATAATGGTGCACATTTTGCTCCATAACAACATCAGCCAGCAGGGGATTCATTTCTGAAGCTAACCGGCCAAGTACTGGCCAATTACTTTTTGTCTTTGTCAAAATCTTGTGCTGCAAGCACCCATGGGTCAGGTGAAATGAAGTGTCTTTTTATCTCTTCCCTTCTGTTAGAATGACCAGGGTGGTCAGAGGATGCTGGTAAACAGATGGAGCTCTTTCCTGAAGACTCGATTGATCTGCTCAGTGGCTGGACCCAACGGCATTGACACACACTTTGATGAGCTCGGTAGGGGACATTCTACTTTCTGTCTTCCTCTCCAGTGGTCTTTTTCATGCCTGTCTAAAACCATGAAAGTATTTCACCTTCTACTTCATCATGGGAGGTGGATTTTTGCTGATAATTGCAATTTGTAAAGATAATGCCAGATGTTATGAAACCTAATTTGTGCACTTTCTCTCCACGTGAAAACTTCGTAGCTTATGATATGGAGAATTACCAGTACTAGGTCTAAAATTGTGTTTTTGATGTGTACTGTAAGCATTTTGAACATCTCAGTCTCGTCTTATTCTGTAGTGCAAGGGATTGTGTGTAATATTAGCCCATAAAACTTGCACAAATACAGTACATACATGGAATACATACAAATAAAATAGCATTTGCATTTTTTATCCATAGCGACATACATTGCATTCAAGGTTTTCAGTTCTTGGCATTGCTAGTGCCTTGCTGTTTGAGCTGCTGTAAAATGAACCATGAACAGTATGTCATCTGGTTCCCCTTCAGGAACTCGACCATGGTTCCCCGAGGGAACGAGACGCTGCGTCTCTTTGCCATACTCCCTACATCCCTGCAGGCGCTACTTCATCGAAGCTGGTTTGCGCCCGGCCGGATGTGCTTTTATGCTTTCTGGTGCTTACGTCACCCTGCTCGTGACGTCTCGGTGCTCCATTGGACGGATTTGACACGTGCTTCAGAACGCGGTCACGCAAGGGCGTTCCCAAAAGCGACTCGACGCAGCGTCTCGTTCCCTCGGGGAACCATGGTTACATACGTAACCTAGAGACGTTAGCTCTGACATATTTGTGATGCAATACCCTAATATTGCTTACTACTGTATATAGAGAAGATAGTATGCAACTTTTGATATAGCTCTTGTGTTGGTAATATACAGAGGAAGTCACTGTCCAGAGCAGTATCTGGAATCCATCAACGTAGGGCCGCTTGACTGAAATGGCCACAGTTGCACAAAAAGAAGAAAAACTGCAGTTTTAGCCTCAGATGAGCCATTTCTTCCAGCTCGGTGATTTTATTCATCATATGCCTCAGAGCAAAACTGCTGATAAATCCGTTTTTGGTCTTCACATTTTGCCTTTCGCTAAAGAGATTTCATCAGGTATCCATCTATCCAACCATCTGTCCATCCGGATGAATTTACAATAGATCTCACAGCATAAGCCAGTTGTGTGAATTGAAAATCTAAACCTGTCACCAAACTTTGTATTCTTGAAGGATCTCTCCGATGGGCCCCTTTGACTTTCAGATGAAAGCTCAATTGTTTCTGCACTGACATCCTATTAAACACCTCATCTGTTCCAAAGATGTAAAGTGCTAGATTCTATATTTATTTGGCATTGATTGTCATTTTTGTTATTCAGTTATATTTTACAAAATGTATATATTATTTTAATAAATATACAATCATTTTGTTACTACAGATGTATTGTTTGGTTTTGTGTAAAGAAACTTTATTTTTTTATGCAGTTGGCAGATGATTGTATGCAAAGCGACATGCATTGCATTCAATTTTTATCAGTACTTGCTTTCCGTAGGACTTGAACCCTCTTGGTGTTTTATCTTATTGATATCTTCTCACAATCACAAAACAAAAGAACAATTAAAAAATGTAAACAAAATCTAATAATTAATAATGTAATCATACAAATGGAACATTCAAATAAATATTTCTTTAAATAATTTAATATACAAAAAACAAGTAACCAATCAGTATTTATATTCAATATTTTATTTGTTGGATATGTGAATGGTTTTATATTAAGCTAATATATTAACTTAAAATCTCAGGTAGTACCTCATATAAATATTTTAGTTCAAAGAATTTCGGCTGCCGAAAAAGTTGAGAAATATCTTTTATCTCCAGGAAATGAATTTCAAACTCTCATTCACCTGAATTAACATCCTTTCCTATTAAACAATCCCTAACCCTTACTCTAAACCAGAGGGTACTGATTCATGATGTTGTTCCAGGTCCAAAAAAAGGATGTTGATCCTGAAAATCATGCTTAGCACAAATGCAAGTTTATTTGAGGATTTGACACTGTGTGTGTGTCTATGTGTTATTTTAGAGGATGTGTTCGTGCTACGGAAGAAAGATGAGAAAAATCCAGAGATCTTTGGTCTGTTTAGCACCACCAGGTGGGTGAGGTCACATGTGTCACTGAACAGAGCAATGTATACTTTTATATTCTCAGTTTATTTTGGCGAACAGCAGACTGGATGCTCATCTCCATCTCTTTTTTTTCACTCAGTGCCGTCTTTAAAGGATATGCAGTGTGCATGTATAACATGGAAGACATCCGTGCGGCGTTTAACGGGCCTTTTGCATACCGAGAACGAACTGATCACCACTGGAAGGTGTACGATGGCAGGGTCCCCTACCCACGACCTGGATCGGTGAGTAATATTTGCTCCATCAGTCGCTTTGTGTCATCTTTTTGTTATATCAGAAATCCCAGTGTACAAAATGCTTACACCTCTGACACACGGCTTCATTTGGAGGCCCACTTGAGTGAATGTTGAATTTTGGATCTTATTTCTTTAGACACACAAAATCTCTCATGGCAGATGAGTCTATTTTCAGCGTGACTGTGCACATCACTATTCTCCTCAAGCGTGTCATTCCAATTCTTTAACGTTAATGCCTGAAACCGAGCACTTACGGAGGTACTGTGAAATCGAGGCATGGTCTGAATTATAATTATATCTGATATGTGCTGATTAATGTCCTTCTCTGGCTATTTGTCTCCAGCCGATAAAAGAGTAAGATTGGTTTCCAATAGTTAGTAATGAGATGTAATTCACAGTCATTTTCTCTGGTGTGTTATTGAAGAATCAGAGTACATCCATTGTTCACATTTCAGAATTTGTCTCAATTCTTCACTTTCCATGTGTGGTTATTCTTGGGAAAAGCATATGGAGAAAAAAAGTACGTCTCTGACAGCTGACCTTTTAAAACGCAATTTGGTAGCTTTAGTCGTGCGCCGTGGGATTTCTGATTAGTCTCTTGTTCTAAAAGGTTATAGCAGCGAGAAGCGGGTGATCTATTCTCAGATCAGGAGCAACAAAATTAAAGACCTGAAAGGCTTTCGTGACTTGGAGACCTCTGTTCATGTTGTACTCGTATTTACTGATTTTGGTCTCTCACAGTGCGCCAGTAAGATAAACGGAGGCCAGTTTTCCAGTTCAAAGGAGTATCCGGATGAGGTCCTGCGTTTTGTGCGTTCCCATCCCCTCATGTTCCAGGCGGTGCAGCCCGTTCACAGGCGGCCCATTCTGCTGGACACTGAAGGAGGACGTAAACTCACACAGCTGGCAGTGGACCGGGTGGAAGCTGAGGACGGACACTACAATGTTCTCTTCATTGGAACTGGTATTCAATTTTAGTACCTGTATTTTCTTTTACACCTGATTTGCCACAGTCATAGGCTTTATGTAATTGTTGCTTGTGTCATACTAAATGTTTGCAGTAGCTTATTTTTTTATGTTTTGCTTTTTAAAGGAACATAACAATAAACTATTATTATTTTATTTGATCTCTAGTGTACAAAATCCTTAAAATCAAAATTGGAGTTTTGTAGCTTTAAGGCCAACTATAAGCTAGTGCATTTCTAAAAAGTTGACAATTATTTTAGAAGATATACACTAACGTTTGGAGTTTGTAAGATTATTATTATTTTTATTTTTTTTAAAGAAATTAATACTTTTGTTCAGCAAGGATTCATTCGATTTATCAAAAGTGACAGTAAAGTCATTTTTAATTTTACGAAAGATTTCTCTTTCCAATAAATGCTGTTCTGTTGAACTTTGTTCATCAAAGAATCCTGAAAAATGTGGTTGCCACAAAAAAACAAAAGCAAAAAAAACAGCTCAACTGTCCAACATAATAATTATTATACTGAACAGATAATAATAAGAAATATTACTTCAGCATGAAATCAGCATATGTGACCCTGGACCACAAAACCAGTCATAAGAGTCCATTTTTTGAATCAGTAAGCTTTCTGTTGATGTATGGTTGGTTAGGACAAGACAATATTTTGACCAAGATGCAACTATTTGGAAATCTGGAATCTGAGGGTGCAAAAAAATCAATATTGAGAAAATCGCCTTTAAAGTTGACCAAATTATGTTCTTAGCAATGCATATTACTAATCAAAAATTTGTTTTTTATATATTTACAGTAAGACATCTACAAAATATCTTCATGGAACATGATCTTTACTTAATATCCTAACGATTTTTGGCATAAAAGAAAAATCAATAATTTTGACCCATACACTATTTATTTGGCTATTGCTACAAATATACCCCAGCGACTTAAGACACATATTAGAATGATTTCTGAAGGATCATGTGACACTGAAAACTGGAGAAGTAATGATGCTGAAAATGCAGCCATTACAAGAATTACATTTTAAAATATATTAAATCATCAGAAAACAGTCATTTTAAATAGTACAAATATTTCACAATATTACACTTTACTCTATTGTTGATCAAATAATTGCAGCATTGGTGAGCATAAGACTCTGCTTAACAAACACGTTTCAGAACAAAAATTAACAGATTAAAATAGGGTGCTAGTAATAATAATAATAATACATGTATTTTATAAGTAAACAATTCTGGTCCTCTCTCTCTTTAACCCAGATAATTCTGTAGTATTAAAAATGATCACAATCTACAACAAAGAAGCCGACACAGTTGAAGAAGTTCTTCTGGAGGAATTGCAAGTTTTCAAGGTCATCAGAGGTCCTTTGGGTGACTTTTTATCTTTATATTGAAACCATTTCATTTCCGTTCCGAAACAATCTTCATACTAAACCCTTTTTTTCCCTTCTCATTCTAGGTCCCTGTTCCTATTACAGAGATCCTCATCTCTACCAAGCGAGTAAGACTTCCTCAGTTGGTCCTCACAGACACTCTAGTTTTCCACCTGGAGATGGTGGAATTGAGTAAACTTTTCATGCATGAGTGATCCTCTTGCTACCTATGGCAAATCCAGCCTTTATAACAAGTCAGATGCTTCATAGTTAATTATTAATTCTTGCAGTCATTAGTAAATATTATGAATCAAATATGAGCATCTTTTCTTCTGTGTTATTACTGTAATATTTTCAATGCACACAGATAATTGTAGAATGATTTTAGCTGCATCATTATGCTAACGTGGTGATTTGGACGTGATGGCATTCATCACATGTAACAAAGCGGTTGACAGCAGTGTTTGTGTCTCCATAGCAACAGCTGTACGTGGGCTCTGAGCTGGGTGTAACACAGATCCGTGTGCACCAGTGTGGGCTGTACGGTTCAGCCTGCGCCGACTGCTGCCTGGCCAGAGACCCCTACTGTGCATGGGACGGGTTCACATGTTCCCGGTACTACCCTGCTGGGCTGTATACAAAAAGGTACCAGCAATTTCATAAAGATATATAGTAAATGTATAGCTTATATATTAAGTCAAGTCATATTTCTTTGTGTAGCACTTTTCACTCTACATATTGTTCCAAAGCAAATTTTCAGGAAAGAAGACCTTAAAGGGATAGTTCACCTAAAAAAAAAAAAAAAAATTGTCATCATTTACTCAACTTTGAAGTGTTCCAAATATATATATATTTTTTTTCCAAATATGTCTTAAGATGCTGGGGTATATTTGTTGCAATAGCCAAAAATACATTGTATGGGTCAAAATTATAGATTTTTCTTTTATGCCAAAAATCATTAGGACATTAAGTAAAGATCATGTTCCATGAAGATATTTTGTAAATTTCCTACTGTAAATATATCAAAACTTCATTTTTGATTAGTAATATGCATTGCTAAGAACTTCATTTGGACAACTTTAAAGGAGGTTTTCTCAATATTTAGATTTTTTTGCTCAGATTCCAGATAGTCATATAGTTGTATCTCGGCCAAATATTGTCCTATCCTAACAAACCATACATCAATGGAAAGCTTATTTGTCCAGCTTTGAGATGGTGTATAAATCTCAATTTCACAAACTTGACCCTTATGACTGGTTTTGTGGTCCAGGGTCACACACACACACACACACACACACACACACATATATATATATATACAGTGGGTACGGAAAGTATTCAGACCCCCTTAAATATTTCACTCTGTTATATTGCAGCCATTTGCTAAAATCATTTAAGTTCATTTTTTTTCCTCATTAATGTACACACAAAAAGGAAGTTTTGATATATTTATGGTAGGAAATTTACAAAAAACTTAATTGAACACATTTACTTAATATCCTAATGATTTTTGGCATAAAAAAATCTATAATTTTGATCCATACAATGGCTTTTTATTTTTGGACCAAATTATTGGCTATTGCTACAAATATACCTGTGCGACTTATGACTGGTTTTGTGGTCCAGGATCACACACACACACACACACACACACACACACACACACACACATATATATATAAAATGTAGATAATTAAATTCAAAATTATTTTAGAATTATTCAGATTAAGTTATACTTAACGTCGTCTCATTACATAGATATGAAAAAAGTTGAAATTGCACAACTAGAAAATGTCCAACTAGCAAATTTTGAACCATGTATCTTTTATTTGAAATCTAATGCAACTATTTTGTCATTTTTGGTTGAAATAAAAGCAGATTTGCTGGTTTGAGATTTTGTCTCGTAATGTAATAAATCACACACACACACACACACACACACACACACACACACACACATATATATATAAAATGTAGATAATTAAATTCAAAATTATTTTAGAATTATTCAGATTAAGTTATACTTAACGTCGTCTCATTACATAGATATGAAAAAAGTTGAAATTGCACAACTAGAAAATGTCCAACTAGCAAATTTTGAACCATGTATCTTTTATTTGAAATCTAATGCAACTATTTTGTCATTTTTGGTTGAAATAAAAGCAGATTTGCTGGTTTGAGATTTTGTCTCGTAATGTAATAATATTAATATTTATTTGATTATTTATTTATGTATTTAAAGTTTAAATAATCTTTAGTGCCATTGAATTTAAATGTATTATTATTATTGTTGTTGTTGTTAATATTAATAATAGGTCAATTTATTAGCTACTATTTGTACATATTTATAATAATATTTACATGTTATTTTATAGATTTATTGCTTACAGCAAATAAATAATTTGTTCTTAATTGTTTAGGTTATTAATGTAGATTTTAATGTTCACCAAGGGTGGCAATCTTTTCCTTTTAAACCTCTTAAAGTCACTACATCATATGCCTCTTAACATTTAATCTTTTAATCTTAAACAAACACACTAAAATAACTTGCTCATTTGGCAGGTCTGTGCATAAAACTGCTCTGTAAATATAAGTCTTGGTCTGGTACACTGATCTTGACATTTGGAAAAGATTATGTGTTTTATTTCCATGTCTTGCATTGCAAAATTAGGTTATTAATGCATTTCATGATTAAGCAACTTTTTTTAGTCCACAGTTTCTAGCTTGTCAGAATGTGTATGTGCACCATAATCTCGTTCGATTTCCAACCCAGTGTTTCCATTAGTGCGCTCAGTGAACTTGGAGAGTGTTTGTTTTTGTGAGAGCTCTTTTTATGTTTCACTTAGCCGCAGGGTAGTGCGTGTGTGCTTGTGTGCCGAGCATATTGGAGCGAAGGGTGAGTGGGAGTGTTTCCCTAATCCTGACTCAAAGGCCTGTCAGCTGTCTCAGTGCGGTCATCAGTCTGAGCTTGTTAGCGACTGATGCTAACACCTCTCACCCATATTAATACTCATCACATGCTCACTTTGTATGCAAAGCCAGAAAAGTCGTGCACAATCGGCACCAAATGCCTGTCAGAGTCATTGCTCAAAGAGTACAGACAAAAACCAGAGCGAGTCTGATTGAATTTCTGTCACCTCCCTGTGCTGTTACACACCTTGGGCGGCAGGATGATATTATGACAATTGCAGGCAGACATGCGGGCTGTCTGGGTTATATCAATGTCTCATTTTTCTCTTTTATTCTACAGGCGCTTCAGACGGCAAGACGTCCGCCATGGCAACGCGGTTCAGCAGTGCAACGGGCTTCAGCTTAGCGGTATGTTCTGGCCAGAGCTTGATCAATGGAGGATATTAGAGTCTTAGAAGCTTTATAGGGAAAAATGAGGCGGATGAGATCTGTGAAAGTTGAAGAGGTCAGAGTACAGTTAATGAGAGTTTCTGGCACTTTATGCACAGATGGTGCTTTTACGTTAGCAGACAGACATCATGTGACAGTGACTGCCCAGTTACTTTATTCCAGAAATTATTTTTCTCCATTTCATCTCAAATCAAATCTACTTCAAATATAAGCTCTGATATCATTATTCATTACAACGTTCATTTTGAAGTTAAAAGATATTAATAATGTGAAAAAAGTAAAAATTCTAAACTTTTTAAATGATTGATTATGGTGGAAAAAACTTTAAGGCATTATGTAACTATAATATCTATAGATATAGATGTTGTATATTTAGTGACAAAATATTCAAATGTTTTGGGTCAGTGTGCGTTTTAATCTGTCAATCTTTTTTTTTTACAGCACATTTGAGACTCTGGACCACAAAACCAGTCATAAGGGTCACTTTTTTGAAATTGAGATTTATACACCATCTGAAAGCTGAATAAATAAGCCTTCCATTGATGTATGTTTTTTATACAAGTAACATCTCTGACCAGAACTGTAATTTATATGCAAATGTCAAAAGGCTAAAAGGGTCTTTTAAGCCATAAACAGTCCAACACTCCAGCATGATCCTACGCAGACGCTACAAAATATACCCCAGCGACTTAAGACTGGTTTTGTAGTCCAGGGTCAAATTTGAAAATAACTAAGGCAGACAAAAGTGAAAACACAGTTAAAAATGAAGCAGAAGAGAAAGAAAAAAAACTGTAGAAGAATTGTACCCCTGAGCTCCTTTCAAAGCAATATAAATAAAATCCTTGAATACTGACAGTATCTGTTCTCAAGATGCATTCAGATTGTGGGCTTAGATACCTGCAGGAGTCTCCGCCATGAGCGCCGTATATGGATTTCTTGAATGTAAGACTGAGAATGTTTACTGCGAACATACAAATGAAAACACAATGTCAACAGTTGACACAAGTTTGAATTCTGTTGCAAGATGTTGATTGTGTTTGGTGTTGAAAATATCACCTTAAAATGAATATATTAGACTAGGCTGTTCAGTATGTGGCTATTTTTGTGTTACAGAGGAACAAATCATCTCAGAAAAGCTGGTATATGGTGTGGAGAACAATAGTACCCTGCTGGAGTGCAGACCACGGTCACTGCAGGCGTCTGTAACATGGTACATTCAACATGGCGTGGATATGGAGGAGGTACAAACACATGCATCCAGAATATACAGACTTTTATCATTTTAAATAAAATGTGTTTAATATTATATTATATATTATATTATATTAATTATATTATATTATATTTACTATATTATATAACTAACCTAACTCTAACTTTTTATTTTTATAATTATAGAAGGAAAAAAGGATAAATAATTGATATAAAATAAATGATTTTCCATCCATAGTAATATATAATTGTAAAACAGACTTTTATCATTTTAAATAAAATGTGTTTTTATTATATTATATTATATTAAAATTAAATAATACTTTCCTATTCCCTAACCCTGATAACTTTTAAAATTGTTATTACGATATATACATACATACATTTATACATATATATATATATATATATATATATATATATATATATATATACACACACACACACATTCACACGTGTGTGTATGTGTGCGCGCAGAGTTTACTTGGATAACATATGGTCATATGGCTCATATGGTCAGGCTCAGAAATTATTTCATCACAAGCTATGGTCTGAACCCCTGCTGAGAGAGGGCTGTTAAATATAGATGAAAGATTCATTTTACTATTCTGTCCACAGGGAGTCTGGATTAATATAGCCCCTAGTGATTCAGTTTGTCTTAAATAGAAAAGAATAATGTCACTCTGACCATCTCTGTGCTCCAAGACATCTCTCAGCAGAATCATGGTAAATTAGACTTTAAATAATGGCACATGTATCAGGAATATTAGTTAAGCCGAGCATCACTATTACAATTGCTTTAACTTGAGTTTAGGGATTAGAACCGATTCCCCAAAAGCATTTTTTTTTTCATATATATAGTGCATAATTATACCTTAAATCATGTGGGTTAACAATGTTGTGGAAAGTAGAGGGCTGTTAAATATAGATGAAAGATTCATTTTACTATTCTGTCCACAGGGAGTCTGGATTAATATAGCCCCTAGTGATTCAGTTTGTCTTAAATAGAAAAGAATAATGTCACTCTGACCATCTCTGTGCTCCAAGACATCTCTCAGCAGAATCATGGTAAATTAGACTTTAAATAATGGCACATGTATCAGGAATATTAGTTAAGCCGAGCATCACTATTACAATTGCTTTAACTTGAGTTTAGGGATTAGAACCGATTCCCCAAAAGCATTTTTTTTTTCATATATATAGTGCATAATTATACCTTAAATCATGTGGGTTAACAATGTTGTGGAAAGTTACTTTTAAAAGTAATGCATTACAATATTGGGTTACTCCATAAAATCTAACTATTTGCGGTATTTAGTTACTTTTTACGGTAAGTAATCCATTACATTACTTTTGCAGTAATTTTTGTCACCTGGGCTGGGCTTGCTTATTTGTTTTTGGTAACAAAAAAGTTTTTGACACTGTAAAGTTAATTTACTAAGCCTCAGGCTGAAAGAAGTGCCTCTGCACTTACTCTCAATTTCTCTCAACCTGGGACAGGAGAGATGTTAGTGAATAAATGGGAAAACAAAGTAACTGGCATTACTTATTTGAAAAAGTAACTCTTGTAAATTTTGTTGTAAATTTGAAAGTAATGCATTACTTTACTAGTTACTTGAAAAAAAGTTATCTGATTATGTAACTAAGACTTGGAAGTGGACTCATTTGACTTGGACCAGTCTAGAAACCAGCCAGAACAGCCTATCAAGCGAAGTACACAAATTTGATAGTGTCCTTTGCATGCTGTTTCTCTCCTTCAGGTAAAAGGCGATGATCGTGTGATTCAAACCCCCCACGGCCTGTTGCTCCTTAAAATAGCGAAGGGAGACGCAGGGGTCTACGTGTGCCAGTCCACAGAGCACGGCTTTGTCCAGACGGTGGTGCATGTCAATTTGGAGGTGTTGGATGAGGGGAAAGTGGAGGGTTTGTTGCATAAAGGCGAGGAAGATGAAGGCGATTCTCCACACAGACCTCCACCCTGCCCCTTCCCCAGCCTGCCCTCCGCTCCATCCTCCTCAAAGCTCTGGTACAAGGATTTCATGCAGCTGATTGGCTACAGCAACTTCCAGCAGGTGGAGCAGTACTGTGAGAAGGTGTGGTGCGTGTCTGACAGGAAGAGGAAGAAACTCAAGGGAATGGCACCCAAATGGCGGTACACACCCGGGGCAGAGCAGCGGGCGAGAGCACGGGCACCTCGACACACACAGGGACAGTAAAGACTGTTAGAACATTCAAACTCATGCTCAGTGCAGATGATTACATACAGACAGTTTTATTATTGTTATTATTAAAAAAGTAATGATTGGTAAGTCATTAAAGCATTTCTTTTAGAGTCTTTAGAGTTGCATCATTTTACCTGAAAACATTAATCTGTAGTCAATATGCCAGATTTGAAAAGGTACACTTTATTTTTGGGTCATTTTTCATAGATGTGTGAAAGCAAAATAAAACCGTTTACATTATGCATTGTGCAATAATAATGACATTTTTGATGATTTACACTACCATTCAAAAATTTGGGGTCATTAAAATAAAAAAAAAGAATAAATAAATACTTTTATTCAGCAAGGACACATTAAAATTATTAAAAAATTGACAATAAAGACTTTTCGGTGTTACAAAAAAAAAATCTGATTCAAATAAATGCTGTTATTTTGAACTTTTTATGCATCCTGTAATTCAGAATTTTTTTAAATCACAGTTTCCACATAAATATTGAACCGCTCAACTGTTTTTTTTTTTGTTTGTTTTTACATTGATAATAAGAAAATTGTTTCGTGAGCACCAAATCAGTATATCAGAATGATTTCTGAAGGACCATGTGACACTGAAGACTGGAGTAATGATGCTGAAAATCCAGCTTTGCATCACAGGAATAAATTACATTTTAAAATATATTAAAATAGAAAATGCTTATTTTAAATGGTAATATTTCACAATATTACAGTTTTACTGTTGACAATATTACAGATTTTTCTGATCTAGTAAATCTAGCCTTGATGAGCATTACATCTTCCTAATTCCAAAATTTTGAATGGCAGTGAATTTCTGTGTTTAAATTCAGTGAGTCACATCCTGTTATTGGAAATAAAAATGTTTATTTTACATGTTTAGTACAATTTGGTATTAGGACACTTTAACTGTTAGTACTTTGGTCAAATAATTAATAAGGAGATTTAAAAATAATTTAAAAAGTAAAAATGTGTAGCCCTGGAAATAGAACTTTGGGTTGAGTATTGCATTATTATTGCATAAGTCTTTAAAGTGGCATATATAGCACATTTTAGAAAATATAATGGGTCATTCAGCTATTCCAATCTTATGGGAAATTAGAAGAATATACATACAGCATGCATACTACAAATGCATGGAATTACTCGGTGTACCTTTAAAATAGAAAAAAAGGAAGAATATGTGTCATCGATTTGAATATTTGTACGGAAACATGCAGTGCTACCTGACTCACTGGGCCATTAAAAGACCCTCTCAGGATGTGAAAGGAAACGTTTTCTCTTAAACTGCTCTGAACAATGGCACATGGCGGAGGCCAGCTGTCCTCTTGACAACGATGTGAGATTTCCTATGAAGATTTCACAGAATGACTTTTCCACTGTTCACACAATTCAAGAGTTCCATTCAACTGAAGAAAACATTTCTGTGAACGGTTACTTGGCTTCAAAAACCCTCCTGACAGAACTTACGCACATACTGACTATATCTGCATTTTCATTATTTTATAAATTATTCTAGTTGGTGTAAGATTTGTTATTGTTTTTGTAGTGGTTTTACCTGTTCTCGTAGTTTTGACTGGACATGTGATAATGCATTTCAGCTGTGTATATAGGTGGATCGTAATGCATTTCTAGCATTTCAAAAAACATCAACTTCCTTTGTTAGTGTTTAAGACATGCAACAATATTTTTTGCTGTGAACTGCAAAATTAAAACCAAATTGTTATGATATTTCAGTGAGATCAACAGTCCCGTTATCATGGTGTCCAAAAGTGTGTTAAATCTTTTCATTGCTGTGTTGTATAATAAATGCCATAAATCCACACAGGGTCTAGGTTTAGCTGGTTAATGTGGCCCTGTTAACCTCTGCTAGTAGATGCTGTAACTACACCATTGACCAGCTGCTGTTGAGATGAACAGGAATACTAACGGACAACTTTCTCTTTGAGGTCATTGACCTCCTTATAATATACCAACGTGATCTCATGCTGTTCAAAAGTTTGGGATTGAAAAGATGTTTTTTTCTGTAATGTTGAAAGATGTCCAAAGCTGCCTTTATTTGATCAAATATACAATAAAGCAGTAGTATTGTAAAATATTATTACAATTTAAAGGTGTTTTCTGTTTGAATGCATTTTTAAAAAGTAATTTATTCTTATGATGGCAACGCTGAATTTTCAGCAACCGTTATTCAAGCCTTCAGTGTCAAATGATCCTTCAGAAATCATTTTAAATATGCTGATTTGCTGATCAAGAAACGTGTCTTATTATTGAAAGCAGTTATGCTGCTTAATATTTTTGTTTGATTCTTTGATTAATAGAAAATGTATTTGAAATACAAATCTTTTGTACCATTATTAATGCCTTTATTGTCACTTTTGATCATTTTACTGTCGCTTTTGCGTCCTTCCTGAATAAAATGATTAGTTACTTTCCAAAACAAAAAAAAAATATTATTGACCCCAAACTTCTGAATTATTATACTAATTCAACTTCTGTGTATTATATTGTTTTAGTTTGATATGAAATATATCTAATGTCTTGCTGAAACCCAGCTTTGGAGTTCAGGGTGAGCATGACGGGAAGAACCATACTGTTTTTGACATGATGGATGGAAGCAGTTTGTATTCATGGAGGTCCGTAACATGGCGTATTAATATTCAGAGTCTGGTCCTCCAGTCCTTGCTGTCTGTCTTCAGCTTTGTGACTTTCCACCACAGCAGTTCTCCTGCTCTTTCTTCTTCTCTCTGCTGATTGTAGATGGGCCTCTTAATTAGCAATATGTACACCGGTCTGCAATGGAAATAATGTATTTCATTTATGAGCGAGACAGTCGCCCGAGTGTGTCGCTGATAACGCCTCACCATAAACATGCGGAGCAGACCCTGTGCTGATGATTCATTATAATGGAGATTGCTTTCACTGTCTTTTATTTTTCTCACATTTAAAACATTTCAACATAGCACTGTGTTCAAGAACCTTTTGCTCGTGTTCAAATTCTCCACTTAATGTTTTATTGCATTGAAATGACTGTGATTGGTGTGTATCAGTCTGTGCTAAACTACTTTATTATGTTTTCTGTCAGTTCTTCTAGATCTAGCCAAGATCCTAAGTATTAGCTAGATATGAATGGAGAAAATGTACCATCCATTTTAAGCAGTAGTTCACCCAGCATGAAATTTCTCTAATTATTTTTCTCACCCTCTTAAATAGGACTTTATTGCTATGCTTTCTTTTCCAGGCAGATGTGTGAGGGTTTGTTGTTTTAGTATTATTTTTATATTGTTAAGTTTATTAATTTGATTATTAGGTTTTAATGTAATATTTTATTTTTAGTTTTTTTAAAGTAATTTATGTGTTTTTGTCATTTTTATTATTTGTTTTGAATCTGTATAGTTTTAATTTTAGTTTAGTTTTAGTCATTTTAGTACTTTAACTTAAAAAAAATAATTGAATTAGTTGCCAAGGCAACATTTCTGATTTTCATTTCCATTTCCATTTTCAAGTTTTTCATCTAATATTTCTATAAATTGTTTTAATTCGTTTTAGTTACCAATAGCAACAATTTTTTTTTCAAGCTTTAAAAGGGACACAAAGGCAATATAAATGTAGACATTTACAATATTTTACTCATCTTTTGAAAGCTTTTTGAGCAACAGAATAAATGTAAATCATTATTCACTAGAAATCATAATTCCCACCCACTGATCTATAATAGTTGATAGTTGATCCATTAATAGTTGAGTGTTGAGTTTAATCTATTTAATGATTATTTTACCCAGTTTACAAAACCAGTATTTCGGTTTTATATATATATATATATATATATATATATATATAAACTTATGTTTTACTATATTGTTCTGGTTTTAACTCTGTGAGAAACCTTTTTACTCAGTTAACACTTTTGAAGAAATGTTTAGATATATAGTTTAAAAATATCGTTTTAGAGGTTTTAGTAAAATTGATTGTTAAAAACATTCTTGCCATTAAAATAGACACAGAAGCTGGCATAAACATTTATGCCAGTCTAAATGATTTGTTCATGGAAAGCATGAAAAAAAAAGTGGTCAAACTATTGAAATTAGTTATTTTACATTAAAAATGTTCCTAGTGAGTTGGCAAACTGAGTCTTTAAACGGCACTGGAAATTGGAAATATAAAGGAGGCGCCGAAGCTGAAAGTTATCTATGAATCATTTCCTGAAGATACATAGAATTTCTTCTTTTCTTGCCGAGCACTTCTTTTCATTCTGTTGGTGTAGATTTAGGCTAATTTTAGCCTCTTGAAAGGAAACGAGTCACACTCTCATAAGCAGGGATGTTTGCTCGGTTTTATTGAACTCATTCCTCTCACAGCCAGCTTCCTGTCTTTAGCTTTACTCACCTCGCCCACAGACTTCTTTTTATAAAGGATTCCTGAAAAAGTGTGTGATCGTGGTATGCTTGTGGATGAAAGGCTTCTGTTGACAGTGCAAAAGCATTTTGTGGAGGTGTCTTATCTCGTCTTAACACAGATATCCTCCTAATATTCGGCATCGTCACCAAACGCTTTTCATTTCAGCTTGTGACCTTTTACTCTTCACCTGTGACAGTAACGAGTGATGAAGCCTTTTAAAGGCAATGTGAATAGCTGTTTTCAACCTATTTTGCTTTTGCAATTTGACATATTTTTTACAATGTTCATGATAGTGAAACTTGATTTTTATCCATCAGGAATTGATTGGATTGTAAAAGGTAGGCCTGGCATACTGTAATAGAGTGTGAGTTCGCTAAAGCAATGCCTAAATAGCCATTTAGCCCAGATGAATCTGCAGCAACTTGCATTAAGAAAGTAAATAGGGTCAGTTTTCATTTTGTGTTGAAGTTAAAGGAATAATTCACCCTGAAAAATGAAAACTCTGTCATCGTTTACTCGCCGTCAAGCTGTACTAAACGTGATTTTGCTTATTCAATGGAACCCAAAAGGAGATGTTTAGCAGATTGTTCACATTGTTGTTTTCCATGAATGTGTTTTTGAACAGATGAAAAAAAGGCGTCATAAAGTAATGGATTTTTAATAGTTTTGATTTTTTTTCTATTGCATTTTATTGTATAGCTTTACATTTCCATTTTATTTCGTTATATTAGTACTTCAACTTAAAATTCAAAGTTAATTTTTATTTAAAGGGGTCATATGATGTTGCTAAAAAGAACTTTATTTTGTGTATTTGGTGTAA